TGAATGGACATGGAATCACACATGTGGATGAGACTCAGAATTACCTGGTTGATGAATCCCCCTGGCTCTCTGGAAACCTTCTCAAAGCTCTTAACATACACAGATAAATATCAGTGCCTTTCTTTAGTTCATTTACTTACTCTCGTGCCTTAGGCATGGGCCTGGGCCTTGGCCATGGCCTTCGGGCTCACTTGGCCATTGTTTTGGGTTTTTTCTCGTGTTTCATGAGCAGAACGTGGGGTTTTGCTTTGAGAGCTTGTGGTGGCCCCTATGAGCTCCGTGCTCCCGTTGACCTGACAGAGGGGCTGGTGCTCACCAAACGAACCTTCCCTGTCCCCATGCCGTCGCTCACTGCCCAGTGCCAGCCCTGTCATTGTTCTGATGGTCACTGTTTTAGTTCTAGGTGCTTTCATGGTGACTCGTAAGACCTGCACGTGTTTCTCCCTGGTCTTTTCCAACACTGATTTATCCTGTCCCTCCCCCAGTGCATGGCGGCTTGTTGGGATTAGCAAAGGCAGAATAAGGGCATTTGCTCCCCATTCCCTCATCCTCCCCCTTCTGTCTCCCAAATCTCATTCCGCTTTGCCATCTTGAGGTGACCTCACGTATGAGTCTCAGGTGACAAGCACACACTCCCCGTTATGAAATAAAGCAGGAATCGTGTTACTTCTTCCTTCTCAGTCACGCTCCCGAGCTTTAATTAGACGGCTCATTTCTCCATGTGTATGTCTGTCGGCACGTCGCTTCTGTCCGTCAACCACAGTTCCCACATTACCGCTGCAGTTGAATAAACCGCATGCTTGCTTTCCCATCTTTGTTGTGGTTTCTGCCTTCCTTGCTTGGGTGGCTGAAGCTGATCCTCTGACGTGTTCTTTCAGGAAGGGCTCGGGAGTTCTGGGATGCAGAAGCGCAGAATGCTTGGGGAGTCTCTGTTGCCCGTCCCCCAAACGTGAAGTATCTGGGGAGAGCCGTGGCCCCTGTTGCTGTCCTCATAGATGATGTCATCTTTCTGGATGGTCACATTAATTCTTCATGTCTGCGCAGGGATTCTAGAATATCTGTCCCTGTCAGTTCATGGAAGAGACGAGGTCTGAGAAGCGGCAGGAGGTCAGTCAGATCATGTCGGTGACCCTTAGAGCATTCTGGAATAATGGTTTTTTTTTTTTTTTTTTTTTACTAAGAAAACTTGGGAAGCCCCTGGAAGGTTTGGAGCGGAGTGTGACATCATCCAGCTGTGGAATCTGACCCAGGTTCAACGTCCCAAGGGCAGAATCGCTTTAGTCTTGATTCACATCCAGCTCAAACCTGAGGGTTCTGATCTGCACTCAGGACAGTAGGAGCTTAAGTCATGTTTGTCTTAGGGATATGCTCAGTATGCACAGTGGACGGTGGTGGAGGTCTGCATACTACCGCATTCGCCGTTCCTGCCGAGGGACGTCAGGCTGTCTCTGCTCTGAGCTGCTGTGAATCCAGCTGCTGTGAACATTGTGCGCGGCCCTTGGTGTGAACCTGAGTTCTGGGATAAAGGCTCAAGGTTACGGTCACTGGGCTGTACGGTGACCGCACATTCGGTTTTTTAAGAAACTGCCAAACTGTTTCCCAGATGTTCCTTTGTTCGCGGTCTTCGAGGAATGGGTCCGTTGCTTTTGGAAGTGTAGTTGGTGGGTCTGTGGCTTCGCAGGATCTGCAGTGAGGTTCCCCGGGCCCTTCTGCTCTCGGGGATGCCTGTCTTCTCTCTTTCTCTTATCTGCCATCTTGCTACAGATGTAGCAATTTTATTGATTTTTTTTTGGACAGGGGGGATGAATCGGCTTTTTCTTTCATGGATTCTCTCTACGGTTTCCCAGTTTTCAGTGTTTTGGGTTTCTGCTCCTTGTTGTTTCCTCTTTCTGCTCAGTGAGTGTGTCTGCTCCTCTCTCGTTTCTTAACACAGAAACTTCACTTATTGGCTTAGAGCGTTTGCTCATTTTTAGTAAGCATGAATGAAATTCATTTGCCTTTCACTACTGCTTTAAATCTGTGTCGCAAATGTTTTCTTCTTTTTTTTAATAATTTATTTTAGAGAGAGAGCGAGCACAAGCAGGAGGAGAGGCAGAGGGAGAGGAAGAAGCAGGCTCCCCACTGAGCAGGGAGCCCAATGTGGGACTCGATCCCAGGACCCTGAGATCATGACCGGAGTCAAAACCAAGAGTCAGACACTCAACTAACTGAGCCACCCAGGTGCCCCACACGTGTTTTCTGTATCCTATTTTCATTATTAAAAATTCTTTTTGACATTTCCCCCATGATCCGTAGGTTATTCAGACGCGAGTTGTTTAGTTTACAGGGTTTGGGGGGTTTTCTTGGCATCTTTCCGTTGATTCTAGTTTGGATCCACTGTGGTCAGAGGATGGACCTGTATTATTCCAATGATTTTAAGTGTGGTGAGGCTTGTTGAATGACCACAGATATGGGCTATCGCAGGGGATGTTACCAGGGTTCCCGGGGTGGGGTGGGGGGGAAGGGAAGGGAGAGCACATCCTGCGGTTGCTGGGTGTCCGTCAGATGCTGTTGGTCACTTGCATGTCCCACGTGTGCCATCATGTATTTGTCCACTTCATTTGTCAAGGACAGTTCTACCAGTTCTTTTCTTTCAGCACCTACAAACATTCTGCCTCTTGGGTCAGATGAGACACGTCTGTCTCCTCACCCCTGCACGGGTCATTTGCTCCTTCACTAGGATTGCTTGTAAGATTTCTCTACTTTCAGCTTCCAGAATGTTAATTATGAGGTACCTCTGCATGATTTTCTTTTGTTATTTCCCATTTAGGCTCTGTTCAGCTTCTTGGATATGTAGGTTCATGTCTTTTGTCAAACTGAGAAGTTGTCAGATGTTATTCTGTCTTTGTGGGATGCCCCAAAGTGCAAATGTTCCGTCTTTGGTTATTGTCCCAAGTTCTCTGAGTTTCTGTTCACTCATTTTTGGCCTCTTTCCTCCCTGGGTTCAGACTGGGTGAATTCTGTTGGTCCGTCCTTAAGGAACCAGGTCTATCCTCTGTCACTGCTGCTCTCCTACTGAGCCTACCCAGCAAATTTTACTTTTTTCTTGTTGTACTTTTCAGTTCTACAATTTCATTTGGGTTCTTTTTATGAGTTTCTGTGAGTTCTATTTCTCTGCTGAGATTGCCTATTTTTACACATTTTCCCATGATAATTCGTAATTTTCAGGTAATTCCAGCATCTGATTTGTCTTGGCCTCAACTGAGTGTCTTTTTTCATTCAAGGTGTGATTTCTTTGGTCCTTGGGGTGATGGGTGACTTTCTGCTGCATCCTAGTCATTTGGCCTACAATGTTAGGAGGCTCCAGATTCTACAGAACCTTTCATCTTGGCAGGAAGTCCCCTTTCTTAGATTTAGGGGAGGGGGGTACTTGGTCTGCATTTGTGGGATCCGGTTCCATTGGAAGTTTGCTTTTCAGAGTTCCTGTGTCATTTCGGCTTGATACATTAACCAGGTGGCCCCGCACCTCCCACTCATCCTTGCTGTTGTTACCTGTGGAAGCACAAAGGGCGTCCCCAGGCTGAGTGTCTGATGTCTTTCAGCTGGGGAGGGCTGGGAGGTGTCTTTGAGTGGGATTGGGTGTGTAAGGACATTGGAAAGAGGTTTCTCAGGCTGTCTGCTTGCTGTGGCTGTGGGCCTTTTCCTGGTTCCACCTGCTTGACTGGGTGTCCTGGTCAGGGAGAGGGGCCCCAGGTCTGTGGAGACAAAGAGGCTTCCAGGATGGGGTACTTGCTCTAGGTAGGTCCCACTGGCCCACCTCAGTATCTCTTGGCCCAGAAATGTCAGGCCCAGTGGGGAAGGGGAGTACCTTCTCTGGCCACTTATTTCTGGTGGGGCTCCCAATCGACCCCTCTCCACGGTGTCAGACTGTCCTCACGGGGTATGAGGGGTGCAGACTCCATCCACAAGGAACAATGTTCCAGGGCAGTCCTTTGTTGTGGTGAGGGGGGGGGCAGAAAATGCCAAGTTATTCTTGGTCTTCCTGGTCTGGGTAAGGGGACACAGACCATCTACTGTTGGGTTTGTCCTCCAGTCCTGGGGCCCCAAACCAGCTGTCGTCTTTCTTAGGACCTTGCAGAGTTCCCCTTTGTCTGCGGTTGTGCCTTTTGTAGGGTTTCTAGTCCTGCAGAGCTGGACGTGCAGGGGAACTAGGTCTACGCTATCCTGTCTGGACTAGCATCCCCTCATCCCACAAGTCTTGATGTGTTTTATTCATTTACACTCAGTTCTACATATTTTTTAATTTCCTTTGAGACTTCCTTTTGACCCAAGGTTTGTAATTTATACACAAGAAGTGTATAATTTATTTTCCAAGTTGCTTGAATATTTTGCTGTTGACTTCCAGAGTTTGATTCCACCGTGGTGAGAAAGCACACCCTGTGTGGTCTCAGTTCTTTTAAATTTATTGTTGTTGTCGTCTTTCATGACCAGGATTTGGTCTGGGTTGGCCAATTTGCCATGCGGGCTTGAAGAGTGTGTATCCTGCTAATTCTGAGTAGAGTGTTCTCTGCATGTCCATCCAATCCTGCTGGCTCTTGGTGGCAATCAGTCCTATATCTTGGCTAATTTTCTGTCTATTCATTGTATCAATGGTTGAGAGTAGAGTGTTAAAATCCCCAAACATCATTTTGATTTTGTTTCTCTCTATTCTTAGCTGTATCCACTTTTGCTTCATATACTTTGAAGGTCTTGAACAGAGGTCTTTCATGGGAGGATGGAGAGAGTCAGTCACAGTAAGTGTGATGAAAGATCCTCCCAGAACATTGTCAGCTGGAGGAGGCAAGGGATTCTAGAATTTCAAAGCAAGGGTCCCATACATTTACTGCCTCATTCTTGTCCATGAATATAAAAATGCATTTGATGAAAATCATTACCAGAATCAATACCACATATTAGTAATTAAATTTAACTCTACACAAATGAAAAACTGAGTTAGGAGTAAATGGGGGGAAGATGTGAATACACATGGAACTCTATTTTAGGGTTTATATTTAATTGTTAAATTTTAATACAGATTCACCAGAGGTTAATGAATTGAATTAGTTTTTATTTTCCTCTCCAACAGAGTAAGTCTGTCAGATGTCTCAGCTGGAGGCTTGATGCTCATTAGTAGTGTAGGCTCCTTCTGTCCTTAATGGTGGCTTTTCTGACGGACCTCCTCGCCCACCTGATGGTCTAACATGGACACTCACAGCATCATTTCCACTTTGAAGGCTGGGAGAAGGAGGCACACTGGCCAAGAGAGGGGAAAAAAGTGTTCTAGGCATGTTATCCACATGGAACAAAAGAAAAGTGAATTCCTGCCAAAAAATAATAACATACAAATTTAGTTGGACTCAAATGATTTAAGTGCAAAATGCAAAACTCTGAAACACATTTTTTTAAACTCTGAAACATTTAGAAAGATATATGGGAGGATATCTTTATGGACCATAAATCAAGGAATGATTTATAAAATAATACACAAAAATTGCTAAGAATAAAAAGATTGATTCAACTATATTCAAATTAAGAACATTTGTTCATCAGAAAACACTGAGAGGCAAGTAAAAAGAGAATAAAAGAAAAAAGCACCAAAATTTCACATACAAAATATATTAAAAGACAAAAACAGAAACCAGAACTCCTAATTAGCAAGAAAGGAAGAAGAACACAAATAACCTTGTTTTGAAAATTTGCAAAATACAGGAATAAGGATTTTCCACAAGGAATATAAATGGGACAGAAACATATGAAAAGAAATTCAGATTTTTAAAAATAGTTAAATGGTATGGAGGTTCCTCAAAAAGTTGAAAATAGAGCTACCATATGATCCAGCAATTGCACTACTGAGTATTTATCCCAAAGATACAAATGTAGGGATCCGAAGGGGTACATGCACCCTGATGTTTATAGCAGCAATGTCCACAATAGCCAAACTGTGGAAAGAGCCAAGATGTCCATCGACCAATGAATGGATAAAGAAGATGCGGTATATCTATACAATGGAATATTATGCAGCCATCAAAAGGAATGAAATCTTGCCATTTGCAATGACGTGGATGGAACTGGAGGGTATTATGCTGAGCGAAATAAGTCAATCAGAGAAAGACATGTATCATATGACCTCACTGATATGAGGAATTCTTAATCTCAGGAAACAAACTGAGGGTTGCTGGAGTGGGGGGTGGGGTGGGAGGGATGGGGTGACTGGGTGATAGACACTGGGGAGGGTATGTGCTTTGGTAAGTGCTGTGAATTGTGCAAGACTGTTGAATCTCAGATCTGTACCTCTGAAACAAATAATGCAATATATGTTAAGAAAAAAAAAAAGGTAGCAGGAGGGGAAGAATGAAGGGGGGGAAATCGGAGGGGTAGACGAACCATGAGAGATGATGGACTCTGAAAAACAAACTGAGGGTTCTGGGGAGGAGGGGGGTGGGAGGATGGGTTAGCCTGGTGATGGGTATTAAGGAGGGCACGTTCTGCATGGAGCACTGGGTGTTATGCACAAACAATGAATCATGGAACACTACATCAGAAACTAATGATGTCATGTATGGTGATTAACATAACATGATAATAAAAAATAGAAATAAAAAAACTAAGGTTTTAATGTATGGTGATTAACATAACATAATAATAAAAAAAAACAGTTAAATAATACCAGGTGTTGGGGTGCACCAGGATCTAAGGAATTTCTGTGTCCCTGGAGACAACTGGCGTCAGTGCTTCCATCCAGAGGCTTTGGACTCGGCGATTCTGTTCCTAAATCTGGCTGCTGGAGGAATAAAGCTCTTGTCTACCAGTGTCTTGTAAACAAATTCAAGGTAGTAGTTTTCAATTCTATTTTTTCCAAATTGCCAATTTTAAAGTTTTTAAATGACCCACGCAGAAACACGCAGAATAGCACACCACCCCCGACACATTCTTCAGCCAGATTCAACGGTCCTCCATCTGGCCACCTGGGTTTCATCTAACTCATTTTCCTCCTTTTTATTTATTTATTTATTTATTTATTTATTTATTTATTTATTTATTTTTCGCTGGTTTTATAAGTCCATGCCAGGTGTAATGCAATTAAAAGCATAATTTCTTCATGACTGAAGTAATGGAAACAACTCCAATAGCCATCCGTGGAAAACTGCTGAATTAAACTGAGGTCTTACACCCAACAAAATACTATAAGCAATGAAAATGAATGAACTGCGGCCGTCGTCAGCACTAACACAGCTTGTGATCGAAACACGAAACATGAAAAAGAAAGTCATGGTGTATAACATGTAATATGATGCCATTTTCTAATACTTGACAAACAGTAAAATCTTCTCGTTTTAATAATGTTCAGTTTGATTTTTGGCAATTGTGTTTGTGAACCCTCCTTTTTATAGAGTGATTTCATATTACCTAACTGTATCAGATTGGGTTCTTTGTAAGATACACAAGTTCTGGCTGTGTTAAAAGGAAAAAGAGAATTATTGGAAGGATAGACTTGAAGGACAACCTGAACAGCAGATCTCAGGAAGGACAGGAACTGGGGTAACGTTGATAGAGATGCATCTTTATGGAGCTCAGCTGTATGAATTGAGCGTTTCTTATCTCCTGCTACCTCTCCAGTGATTCACATTACTGTGTAGGGAAGTCTGACTGGACATAACTACCTCTGGATACAAGAGATAGATTGGGTATGGGATGGTTCTTTAAAAGATGGCCTGCTGATCAAAAATAAGGACATTTGGTACAGAAACCATCTAAAGATGTCTTGATTTTTGGAGAACTGGACAAATAAGATTTTCTTTTTAACATATATGAGGCTGATTACTTAAAGACTTAAAGGTAATGTTTATGGCTAATAATAGCTGATATTTATGGAACACTTACATATGATAGTTACTATTACATCTGGGAGGGATGACGGCAAGATGCACAAAATTCACAATCGTCGTTGTTCCTCAGGGGACAGGGCTGAGATGCTCTTAGTTCCGAAGGTGGGGGACAGCTTTATAGGCATTTAGGATGCTGCTATAAAATCTACATCCAAGTTGCTATTACATAGGGGAAGATATGAGCTCAATTATAATAGGGACAAATATTGGGCCCATTAGGATACAAGTGTAGGAAAATAACACAAAAAAGGCCATGTGCATAAATGATGATAATAAACTATAATTTTTTCATTAAAAATATTTTAACACTCCCCAAATTATCCATTATAACCACAGTGGAATTCTGATGGAATGTATAATTATGTAACATGATGATAACATTCGTCTGGTGGAAAAAATCTAAAAGTATCCCTGAAAATATTTTTAAAAATCAATGGTGATGGGGTACCTGGGTGCCTCAGTCTGTTAAGCATCTGCCTTCAGCTCGGGTTATGATCCTGGGATCCTGGGACCGAGCCCCAGGTCGGGCTCCCTGCTCAGTGGGGAGCCTGTTTCTCCCTCTGCCACTGTCCCCCCACCCCCACTCCTGTTCTCTCTCTCTCAAATAAAAAAAAAAAAACTTTAATAAAAAAGTCAATGGTGAGCTTACCATTTTAGATGATAAGATGCATTATAAAATTATAACTAAAAGACGGCCACAGACAGCACAACAGAGAGGCAGATAAATGGGAAAAAGAAGTGATTTTGAGGAAACAGACTAGTTCTTGTTTAACAATGTTACTGTAAGAGTAAGGCATTGTTACAAACATAGAAGGAAAGGATAGAAAACTGGCGAGCTAATTGTCATACTCATAACTGAAACAATGCATTTGTTTATGATTAAAATTTAACAGGAAAACATTCAAACAGAAACATTTTTTAAGAACATGGAGTCATTTTTAAGGCAGAAGAAGACCTGCCTGAGAAAGACTACACATGTTAGAATAATGTGAAATAAGAAACAGTATCATTTTAAAAAGCAATTAAAATATAAACGATCTAAAAGTATTGCTACTCTTAAAGAAACAGCTCTTTGATGCTCATGATTGAAAAATGTTCTCAGAGGCAATTGAACAAATATTATAAATGGGCAAAGCATTGAAGGAGAAGAAATGAGCCACAGTAACAACTCAAAACAACAGCAAAAGAGAAGAGAAAGAAAGAAAGAAAAGAAAAAGGAAAAAAAAAAATCAAATCCCCAGTAATAAAAGAAGCACAAGGTAAATAAACTAGTGGACACTTGTTGACGTCATACCTGACGAGTTGCACGTGAGTGTGTCTCTGGTGGATCCGCGCTGTTTTCCTGGGAGCAGAGATGCACGGCTTCCCTAGGCTAAATGGCAAGAATGGAAATGGATACAAACTTTCTGGACAACTTAGCTACATGTTGTAAAAACTTGAGGAGTTCACATTCTGACCCAGAGGCCTGCCTGGGGGAGGCGCACCCACAGCCTCTCTGGTTGTGCTGGTTACCATCCTGAGCACCAGTGCTCACCCTGCTCCCTAACATGGGTGCCAGTCCCATGGCCTGCAAGTGGGGTCATCGGTAGAGCAAGGACTGCCGCTGGCCCAGCCTGGGGAACGGGTGTGAGCGACTGTGAATTGCCCTAGCTCCCCTTATGACAGCACTCTGCTCCCCCAGGAAGGGGAGGAGGGGGAGGAGAGCAGAAGGAAAGGGGGGAGGAGGGGGAGGAGGGAGGAGGGGGAGGAGGGAGGAAGGGAAGGGGGAGGAGGGGGAGGAGGAGGGGGCAGGGGGGAAGGGGAGGAGGAGGGGGCAGGGGGAAGGGGAGGAGGAGCAGGGAAGGGGGGAAGGGGAAGAGGAGGAGGGGAGGAAGGGGAAGGGGAGGAGGTGGAGAGGAGGAGGGGGAAGGGGAGGAGGAGGGGAGGAGGGGGAAGGGGAGGAGGTGGAAGGGAGGAGGGAGGGAGGGGAGTGCTAGGCAGCGGGTTATAAACATCTGCCCAACCTGCGTTTAGTGGCACAGAACATTATTTTGCTATGGTTTTGAATAAAAGCATCATTTTAGTAAAGAAATAAGTCCCAAGTTTGAGAGGCTAGATACTGAAATAGTAATGGTGATGTCAAAAATCCAGAAATAGCAAAATTAACAACCCCAAATCGATAACTACTATTTCGTAAGAGTTTAGCGTGTGTGGAAAAACAGCCAAGGGGGAGGGAGCTTCCAGATTGAACCAACGGGGAGCTCGGGGCACAGGGGGGCTCGGGGGGGGGGCCTGCAAAGCACCGATGAGCAGGTTCACCCTCGACGGTGGTTGGTTAAGACGCTGGGCATCTCCAGACGGCGGGGGGATTGGCTAAAAGTGATTGTCTTACCCCATTTTCAGGAAGGCGACTTGAATTTCTTTGACAATCCTCAGAGGCGTTTACAAGAAATCAGTTAAGTCAGGTTTCGTTCATGTTCGTGAAACACCAGGTTTAGTTTTGTTGACGTGGCTTCGAGGGTTGTCCGCTCCAGGAACGCTCAAGTCCGGTCTCCCTGTCACTTGTAACTTTACCGGTGGCGCCTTCGGTGGTGGCGTGGTGGGGGGTTTGCTTTCTTCACTGGCGTCTCAGGATTTTCCAAATTTCGCCCAAGAGATTCGCTCCATTTGTGTAAGTAAGTGAGCTCAATCACGGAGACGCATCTGTGCTTGGACCCTCGCTCTGGCCCGACATGACTGATCGCCATTCATCAGCCAGTTGAGGCTAGGACGACAAAGCGAGTCTGGGATCATCCATGCGAACCCCCGTCCTCCGTACCGACACCTGCCCGCCGTGACTTGGAACATTTGACGGATTTTTATGCAGGCTCCTAATCGCCTGCATGTTCACAGTCACCCCAGTGCATTACTGACTCGTTCAGTAAATGTCTATGGGGCCCCTGGGCCAGGTACTGTGTACAAGAAACAGATGTTACCACTGTCCGTCGTGAGGTCTGTGCTGCCCAGCGAAGGCCAAGGGCACGCAGCGAGTCTCCATAAGTGCAGCTGGGTGGAGCTCTCTGCAGGACCAGTGAGTGCGCTCCGTGTTCCCACTGGACACACAGCACCACTCCTGAGTTCAGCGAACGCTCGCACCCAAACCCAGCCTCCTCGCCTTCCACCCCGGGGCCCCGCACGCGTGCTCGTCACTCCAGGCCTCCATGCTCTCACGGACATGCTCCCTCTGTCCTGGCCCCTCTGTGCCCATCGTCCGGGAATACCTGTAGTTGGAGCCTATGGGCAAATTGCTCTGGTGGGGACCTCAGGCCCCCCTTCCAGGTGAAGGACAGGAACTCCAACTGGACTTTTGTGGTGCTGAGCTCGTTCTGTTCCCCAAATCCATCAGCTCCCGTGTCGATGGCTACGTCGGTCCTTCGCAAAGCCTCCCACCATCTCTTCCTGGCGAGTTTGCAATTATCCCCTAAGAAAGCCACCCAGAGATTATGCTGTGATATGATATGACCCTTAGGCCACACACCAGCCGATTGTGTTTGCAACCCCCTGTCCCCCATCAGCACAGTCTTCCAAAGCTTGAGGCACGGACCACGTTACGTGGTGGGTGGCTAGCACTGTTTTGTATATTTAGAAGGCACTTGGTAATTGTTTCCTGGCTTTGAATTTGTACATTTCCAGTTTGCAGAAAAGGGATATTTAATCATTGGTCTTAGGGGAAACTGCTTGCCATTTGAAAAGAAAAAGGGGGATATCATGTTGACCCCCTCCAGCAAAACTAAGCATCAGATACTTTAAAACTTATGCATAAAAAAATTTTTTTTAATGTAAGAACAAAGAAAAACTTGGCTGACCTGTTTGTTTTCAGTGTTCGTTTGGGTGAGTGGGGCGCATCCTGGTCACACAGTGTTGCGGGTAACGTGAATCCAGTCTGTTTGGAGGGTAATTCAGCTATCCGGACTGGAATTTTAAATGTCAATGCTGTCTGATCCAACTTGAAAACTTTATCCTCCGGATACATGTGCATAAGTGTACATGGATATTGACTCCAGATTTTTTTTTCATAATAGTAAAAACTGAGAACAATCTACATGCCCACTGATCGAGAGCCAGTTACTTCTCACGAGGCACCTGAACATTTGGATACACTATGCAGATGTTAAATATAGAAGGAGAATCTGTTCATACTATTGTGGAAAGATGCCCAGGGTATATTGTTAGCAAAGAGAAAACTAAATAGTAATACCAACTTTATGTAAAAATGTGCGTAACCTATCCAAGAACCTATGCTTGCCGGTGCATCACAAATGTCTGAGATTCACAAGAAACTTAATAGTGGTTACAGTGGGCTTTTGCTTTTGACCACACACCCCTTCTATGTCCTTTGATTGTTAATTTTTAGATATTTTTCCTAACTCAGTGCAAAGAGGGGAAGATGCATTCCCAGCCCCTGCCCGGAGGGAAACCTGTAGGTGCTTGGATCTTGCACCTGTCTGCGTTCCCCACCCCATCTTCTCTGGAATACCGATTTCCCCATCTCCTCTCCTCGATGAGTCCCACGTTATTCAAGACATTTATACAGACGGTTGGGTGAAATGAACCAAGTCACCAGGAGTTTCCCTCACATTGACTGTAAGCTCGGCGGTATGCTTAGTCCAGGTCAGGTTCTTTGCCCCTTGATTCTGGTAGTGCACAGAAGTGATTTAGGATGACAAAGTGGCAACAAAATCAACTTACGAAGTGGCTGACGGAGGCACACATGTCTTTCTAGTAAATTTGATCCCCGAATGTAGAGGCAGCTGGATCTTTTTAGTTTTGTTCCCGCAAGCATGTCACACCTGTGACTTAGAAAACCTTTCCGAGAGCTTTTATATGTCGTGCTAGACGATGACCCCTCAAGGTCCAAAGGCACAGTACATTCCTTTTGGAATTTAATGCTGGGAATAGTTTATCCATCATAGATGTGACTTCAGTTTTCTTCTTTATTTTTAAAGTTTTTATTTATTTACTTGAGACAAAGAGAGAGCACAACTGGGGAGTGACAGGCAGAGGGAGAGGGTGAAGCAGACTCCCCGCTAAGCAGGGAGCCCGATGCGGGACTCGATCCCAGGACCCTGAGATCATGACCTGAGCTGAAGGCAGACGAGTAACCGACTGAGCCACCCAGGCGCCCCTTCATTTTCCTTCTTAAGAAGATAACAACAGGTGTTTGAGTGACAGTGTCTTTCCTTTCTCCTCGACTATGAAGGTGCCCGGAAGTGGTCCGCTTGCTGTCCGATTATCATGGCAACGCCCTGGGTAACCGACGTGTTTGGACCTCTCCCCACCCAAGGTTTTCCTTGTTTTAACCATATTGCACGTGTATCTTTGGAGTCTCTACGAGTTATTTATGGTAGAGAAATGAAGACGGGATCATGGACACTAAAGAGGGTTACTTCAATCTTTCATTTCTGGGTTTTGGATTGCATCTGGGGTACAGAAGGGAGGAGGCCAACATCATTCTACTGTGGGCTTCTTTGTATTTGAAGTGCAGACATCAGGAAAATCACTCTTTTGCTATCTTGGCGTGTCTGCCTCACACTCTGGCCCGAACCAAGAAGAACAAGGAGTATTAAAAACACAAAGAGAACAGTTATGTAAACATTTTCAGAAGATCACAAAAAGGTACAGATTAGGCTCAAGTAACGTATTCCTTTCCAGATGATTTACTTATTCCTTGTTTAACACAGATCCTATTAAATATTTCCTCAGCTCAAATGTTTTATCCTAGTTACAGTGATCTAAAGAAAGCCAAAAAACAAACGAACAAACAAACAAAACAGAGAAAAAGGAACCTAGGACTTGGTAAGGAATTGACCTCAATATAATATTCTCGTGGATAGCATCCTAAGACCTCAGTCCAGAGCAGTTTCCCGAAAGCGCCTTGCGGTGGTCACACACGCACACGGAGTGGGGTGGGAGAGACGCAGCAAGGTCATGGGTTCAGTTTGCCGTGGGAGGGACACGGAGGACCGGGGGTTCGAGTCAGCACAGGACAGCCTGTCTCCAGTGTCGGAGGCTCTGACCACAGCCACGTACTTCATGGAGCACAACTGAGCGGATGGGTGGAAAGCTAGAGAAAAATGCGTAACTTCACAAAGCCCAGAGTTGGTAATCACTAAGCTACTGGAAACATGAACACGCTTGCCCTGGGCTGTCCCAGGAGTCTGCATGCTGACTGAGGAAAGCCCACTCCCACGGAGCCTTCTGGGGAAGAAAGCACAGGGAGGGACAAGTTCATGGACCGCATGGCCCGCAGGGTCCAGAAGGGTCCTCCCGTTCTGGGATTCGGTCGGCAGGTAACCCCCAGAGCACCTCCCTGCCCGGCACCACCCCCAGTCGTCTCCTTGCATGAAGTCAGAATGGGGCATGAGACTGAGGTTCAGAGTGGTGGATTACCTGCTCCCGAACAACTGCCTAGCAGCAGAAAGAAGATGACCGGTTGGCAGAGCCCTGTTCTGTGAGCCCTACATGCGTCGCTGCAAAGAGCGTTTCAGAGATGGGCCCACGGAGGCTCTGACAACAGGCTTGCGGACACGGTCACTGCTGTTCTAGATGATGAGGCCAAAGCCCAGGGAGTAAGGAGTTGAGGCCAATTGAAACCTCGGGAGGCTGGCTTGACCTCTATGTCAGGACGTCTGCCCAATAACACCCCCAAGGTGGCTCCTTTCCCTAGACCTGCCTCCGTGGACGTGCTCCGATTGTTTCTGGGGATCTGTGTGCCCAACACAGGCTTCCGTGAGCAACCTGCTCTCCTCCGCGCTTCTACCATCGAGGAGAATCAGTAAACTCCACGTCAATATGGATTTCATTGGAGATTCCAATCTTTACGTATTTGCATTATGCTTGATTCCATGGTACGAGTCAATCACTTCTGAAAGCAAATATTTAATAATTTATGGAATCAAAAAGTTTCAACTTCTAAAAAACACTTGGAATCCTCCAAATTCAAAGAAAGACAAGAAGGAGGGTGGGAAGGAGGAGGGAGAGAAGGAGGGAAGGAAGGAAGGACAGACGGACATCCACTGACTTGTTTAGATCGCCCGTGATCATTTCCAAGAGAAGCTGAGTTTTCATGAGACAAGTGCTTGACAAAATCAGGTAGCAAAGCTAAAAGTGTCCTTTCAAAATGATGTCATTCAATAGTTCCCAAGTTCTTCGTTGGTCACTTTTGATTTAGATGATGAAAGGTTTTTCTTTAAGAAAATCTAATGAGAAGCCCCCGAATGTTGGGGCTGAGCCTGGAGGCAGGCAGGGGAGGCTCCGGCGGCAGCTCTGGATAAATCTTATTCTGCAGACTTCATTCCAAGGAATGGGGATCTGACATCATTACCGACTGGACAGGAAGGCCCGCTGGAGGTAAGCACCTGCTGGACCCACCTGTCCAGGTATGAGGCAGGCTCCCTGGGGGACGCATGCTGGCTGAGGTGAGAAGAAAGTCCTAAAGTCCCCTCTGCCTCCAGCAGTCCTTCGCCGAGGAGGGAGACGGGGCACCTCGAGACCCTCACGTGGTGTCGGCGGCTCTGTAACTGACTGCACAGGAGTCCGGGACAGGCAGGGACTCTCCCTTTATTCTCAGCCCTTGGCCTCTCAGCTGTGTCTCCGGCTTCATGTTGAGAAAGGCATCTTCCTTGGAGAAAGGTCATCTGGGGTGAGAAGGACAGGAGGTGGCCTCCAGCCCCACCCACAGGGATCGTGGAGAAAACCAAGCAGTGAGAGAGACTCGCAGGCATGATCTGGAGAAGGAACCGGCCCCTGGCAAGAGCTCTCCAGGGACGCAGACCCAGTTCCCAGGCCGCCTGCTTCCTTCCTGTTTCCTCCTGTCTGCAAGCCAGTGGTTCTTACAGCAGTAAAACGGTGGCGCAGGAAAGTCTCCTTGGCTTATGTCCAATTCAGTAACAATGGGGGTGCCATGGGGAGAGTTCAGTAACAATGGGGGTGCCATGGGGAGAGTTCAAGTCGGCATCACCTGGAAGGCCGGAGACCCTGCACCGCAGGTCGGTCGGGAAACTCCAGAAACGGAGGACGGGGGTGCCTTGGGGGTGGAGGAAACAGATCCCCAGGACAGCCCGGGGGCTGCTGAGTTGGGGGAAAGCAGCCGCCGCCCTGAGCCCCAAGCGGCCCAAGAGCCCCGGTGTCCATCAGCTTGGACCGGCCTGTTTGTACTTCGGGCTCGGAGGCTACTGACGGTGGTGATGAGAAATGCAAGGCAGCTCGTCTTTGCTGTGTGTGCAGGTGCTTGGGCTCGCCCTGCTGCTCCCTCTGAGCCTCTTCTGTCTTTGCCAAGGGTGGCCCTGAGCGGCCATCAGCCCCTCGGCTGCGAGCCTGCGCCTCGTCCCGAGGCTGGAGGTTTGTCCCAAATAACTGAACTGACATACGGTAAAGCTCCAATTATGTGTGTCTGAACGTAATGGAACCCATTCAAGGTGCCTGATGCTCTAGCTGGTCCTTTCCCTCATGCGTCGCGCACACCCCTCTGCTGCGCTGGACGCAGACTCTCCTGCCCCCCCAGTTCCTCCCGCCTCTCCTGTCCGGGACTCAGTCTCTCTCTCTCCCTCCCTCCCCCACCCTCCCTCTCTCCTTCTCTACTTTTTTTGGATCAGGATTGGAAATTGAGGTGATTTTGTCTAAATTTCCATTTATTTATTATTTATTTATTTTTTAAGATTTATTTATTTATTTATTTATTTGACAGAGAGAGACACAGTGAGAGGGGGAACACAAGCAGGGGGAGTGGGAGAGGGAGAAGCAGGCTCCCCGCGGAGCAGGGAGCCCGATGTGGGGCTCGATCCCAGGACCCTGGGATCTTGACCCAAGCCGAAGGCAGACGCTTAATGACTGAGCCACCCAGGCGCCCCTAAATTTCCATTTAGACACACGGTCTTGTTTCCTGGTAACTGGATGCAGGTTAATGCATCAGGTGAGGCCAACACGTTGACCAAGCCTCTCATTACTGCAACTCACATTTGAAGACACAGAGGCCACCAAAGTCATCTATTTCTCTAATAAGTCACTTACCAAAGTGTCTTCCCTGTTGGTGTTTAAGACACTCAGAGGCAGGGAGCAGGGTCCCTCACGAGAGTGTGGGCAGGGCAGGGTCAGTGGGATCCCCGCCTGCTCACCTGGACTGAAGCAGTCATCGAGCCCCAGGTTTTGTAGGTAAAGGCACCCACCACCGTGCATGGCGGTCCCTTGCACAGCATCCTTTGGAGCAGGTCATGTCCATCTTGACAGGAAGCTCTCCACGGGTAGGAAATAGTCTCGAGAAGCAGACGGCTATGCGTTCCAGCGACTCGTCTTCCTGAGAGCAAACTCCCCCAACCTGAGAGGGGAAGAACCAGATTTGACGATCCACCTCCCCCACGCATGGGGTGCGTGGTTCGAGGCAGATTCACTCAGCATCTCTGGGGCTCCAGCCAATCAGCTCTGAGGCGAAACCCCAGGCAAGGCCCGCCGGGGCTGCCGGGAGGATGGGCTGACACGGCGGACATGTGCGAGAGACGGAGGACCAGCCCCCGGAAGGGAGTGGTGATCCCGGAGATGCGCGGTGGGCAACCCTCCCTGCATCCCTTCCACGGCCAACCCTTTGCTGAGAAGTCTGGCACGGCAAGTAGGCTTCGCGTCACGGGCCACCTAGGACAGTGGTCTGGGAGTCCCTTCATCCACGTGGGCGAGAAAACTGCTAGAATTAATGCAAGCGTTTGGGCAGAGGGTGGACGATTTTCTATTAGGATGGTTATGTAACAGCTCCTGGTCGATTTCCAGCTCCCGGAGCCTTGGTTGTCGGAACGTAGGAGGGGGTCTGCCCCTGAGACGGTCCCTAAGCAGAGACGCGCAGGGTCCCCGAGGCCAGCTGGCTCCCCGCTGAGGCTTCCAACCAGATGGCAGGGAACCCAGCACACGTTTGCTGGTGCTGGTAGCAGACCTTTCACTGACACCCCCACGTGCAGACCTGAACCCTGCATCCTCCGCGTCCTCCAGCGTCACCAGTGTCTGTTGGTTGCATGTTGTCTCGCTGCGTGATCGGTAAACAAGATAAAGTTCACAGAGTTTAATCTTACTCAAGTGCGCTCTAAACAGACCCGGTCCCTGGCAACCACGGGGGAACCTGGCCGGGGCCCAGCGTGGCGTGTCTGAAAGTGGCTGGGAAACACAACTCTCTGAAACCGTCCGGAGGGAGCTGTGTTCTCTTTGATGCTTGACTCTAGCTGCAGGAATGCTGAGTCACGCACGCTTGAGCAGCGCTTCGGAGCCATGATCGTGGGCCTGACCGGGCCCGATCTTGCCATTTTCCCAAACAGACCTTTCCGTTGAGACGCACCGTCTTGTTTCCTGTTTCCGCTGAGTTGCTCCATGACAAATCCGCCGTCCTCGCCGTTTCTCCACATTGCACAACGAGCTTCCTTCCGTGCAGGGGAGCCTGTATTTCCAGACGGATCCAGCGTCAGGGGAAACCGTCTTCCTGTCTCCCCGGGTGCCGTTTGCGAAGGGGGGTTGGACCAGCCGGAGCCCCGGCTGCGCTGCATCCTCACGCTCGCTCCGTGACACGCTCTCCTGCAGACCCCCTCTCCCACGTGACTCTTTAAGATCCATGCCACAGAAGCCTTTGAAACTAAACGTGCACATTGTAAAGCTTTGAGCATCCTGACAGACCAGCCCCCAAATGAAAAATATGTGTTATGTTGTTCATGATGTTTAGTTAGATTTTTTAGGAGAGGGACCTTCCCTTGGTAGAGAACACGTGTATCGGCAGTGTTTACAGAAAATGCAGAACTGCTTTGCATGCACGCACTTGCCATTAGCCCATGATTGGGCGTTGAGCGGGACGATAAGCGGGGATCGAAAAGGCCGTCCTTTGGGCTGCTGGGCTGTGGGGGCTCCATTGCTCTGTCTGGACCCAGGGTGATGTTTTGAAGCAGAAAAGTGAAATGAGAAGCAGCCAGCATCCAGGGCATGAGTTCAGTTAAAGGCAGCCTGCCCAACCCAGACCCACAAGATCGTTTTTAGCAGAAAGACTGTTTTCTCTAAAAGCTAATATATCTAATCTGTTGCTTACGGTGTTTGAGCCACCTGCCAGCCACGAACACGGGATGAGAGAGAGGGTACGTGCATGCGTTTGTGTGCATCTGTGGCCGGAGACTGTGCGGGGAGCCCTGTGCCCGTCTGTCATCGTAACCGAAGCCTGGTGCCGTCCACGCATCACGTGACCTGTTCAAACTTCATTCTGCTGCAGCGACATCAGCACGGCAGAGCTTGAGGAGAAAGACAGGTGTGAACCAAGTTGCCTAGGTGCTGGTCTCACCTCGGGCAGGACCTGGGGCTCAGTGCCCGGCACCCATGTTCAGAGGACATCTCTGGAGACACGTGTGGCCTGTGGGGCTGCAGTGGCCAGGGAGAATATCTGGGAGCTCCGCATCTGGTGAGCACTCTCGGAGATGCTGACGGGCCCGCAGGATAAATGAGCCACAAGGGTCCCCTGGAAGGACGGTATTCTCCCATCCCTGCAATCCCAGAATCGTGTCTGCAGCTTGGAGGGGCTGAGAGCCGGGGGACAGGTGGAGGGGGCAGACGGGCAGCCCGTGGGTCCTACCCCGCAAGATGTCCCTCTTCTTACGACCGGGGTCCGGGATGGGAGCGTCTGAGAGTCTGGACTTGGCACCCGGTCCAGCTTGACTGGCGTTTACGGATGCACTAACGAGACACAGTTGAGGAAATGAATCAGCTTCCTCTCTGATAGGCTCAGTGATTTATCTCCAGAATGTTCTCTCCCCGTATCTCTCCCTGGTAATCTACTTACTGTCTGAAATCTAGCTAACAGTGTGGTTCTGTGTAATATCTTTTCTTTAAACATCCCCATCCTCCCTCAGAACATGCTGTGTTTTCCTTCAGAGTCCTGATCCCTTTCCAAAAGCACCCTGCCCTCGATTTGGGTGCTTTTAATTCTCTCCTTCCCCTTCCAGTGCCCACCTCCCCTGCAATCCCCCGAGGCAGGGTGGGAGCCTGAAGGAAAGTGACCAACTCAGGTTACCCCTGAGGGCCACGGTCCTGGAGGGGCGTGCAGAAATGCACACTGATTAAGATATGAGCGTCAAGAATCAGAAGAAGCGGGCACAGATCACAGCTGTGTGGTCCAGTCCCCAGAGAGGAATACCACTCTTGGCCTTCGCAGTGTAGACAGCGGGTGGATAGTATTTATTTTCAAATAGTATTTCCAAATGGCATCAAAAGGATGCCTTGCTCATGGTGTATTTCTTCTGTGTATCATCCTTCCCCGGTGGTTTGGGGAGCAGCCCAAGGCTTCATCCACCATCACAGGGAGAGGTCTGGAAATAGTGGGACAGTGGGCCAAATGCCTCTCTCTTGTTCCCAGAGTCACCTCTTAAACCATGGCTTTCTGCAGCAGAGAGATGGACTTTTTGAGAGAGAGAACATTGGATTAGCCTCCATTTGTCCTAAAAGTTAAGGGCTTGAGACTTCGCCCAAAGAAGTTATATCGTGAACGAGAGAAAGAAAATAAGACACAAGTGATCTTTTTTTCCCTCTACAAGCTGTTTTATGATTATCTGCCACTTTTGTGACCCGCATAAGCTGAAAATTGTAATAATAGGGCGAACGCAAATGGACCCATCACCGAACTGGAGAGCTAGTGCATCACGGGCGAGTTGGCTTTGCCTGGGGGCCCCTCCCACACTGGTCCACGCCAGGTAAAAGCTCAGGGTGGTGGAGGGGGTGCAAGACTAACTGTTCAGCCCCCTGTACCCGGTGGGAACCTGTGCTTTCAGCTGGTATTTGGCGGGGGAATCGGACAGGTGTTGCCAGAAGGGTATTCTATGGTTCAGCGGGGCTGTTGTCCCAGAACTGCCCAGCCTGGGTGAGTCAAACAGCAGATACTTACGTCTCACACTCCGGGAGGCTGGGAGTTCAAGACCCAGGTGCCAGTGGACTTGGTGTCCGCCGAGGGGCTCTCTTCCCAGCTTGCAGACAGCTGCCCTCCCCGAGTCCTCGAGTGGGGAGAAAGGCTCACCTCTCTCCCGTCTTTCTTAGGAGAACACGAACCCCATTTCCGAGGACTCCACTTTCGTGACCTACTCGCCCCCCAAAAGCCCCACCTGCTGATACCATGATTCGGCCTCCAACAGAGGAATCTGGGGAAGGACAAACATTCAGGCCACAGCAATTTCGCTTCTCCCGATCCTTAGCCAAAGCAAATGGGTGTTTTATTTATTTTTACTTTTTTTTTTTAAGATTTTATTTATTTGACAGAGAGAGAGAGACAGCAAGAGAGGGAACACAAGCAGAGGGAGCGGGAGAGGGAGAAGCAGGCTTCCCGCAGAGCAGGGAGCCCGACGTGGGGCTCGATCCCAGGACCCTGGGATCCTGACCTGAGCCGAAGGCAGACGCTTAACGACTGAGCCACCCAGGCGCCCTTAATTAAAAAAAATATTTTTTTTTAATTTATTTTGAGAGAGCTAGCACACAAGTGAGAGAGCACAAGCAGGGGGAGTGGGGAAGGGAGAAGCAGGCTTCCGCCAAGCAGGGACCCCGATGCGGGGCTCGAACCCTCGGACCCTGGGATCATGACCTGAGCCGAAGGCAGACGCTCAATGACTGAGCCACCCAGGCGCCCCCAAACGGACATTTTAAGGAGCTATTTTTTTGGTCTGTGTCCATTGGTAGTTCTAGATCAAAGGCCCATGCTGTCCCCCACCTAGGATGTATGAGACGCAAGAAGAATCTGCCATTGTTCTGTTGTCATGTTTTGTTGAAAACTGGGCATACTAGCTGGTAGAGTGCCCTCAGCCCGGACACCGAGAACACCCTGCCCAAGGTTTGTTGGTGTTTCTTGTTGGCTGACTTGGCCCCGTGCGGCCAGTGTCTGTCCCCACGGTGCTGAGGGGTAGCCTTCTGCCTGAGCCCAAACCGTGGCGGTGACGTGGTCTCTGACCCCCTGATGCAGTGATTTCCACGGGGCCCTGGGCGCTGGTCCCCGGCTCCCCGCTGAGCGTCTGGCCGGCCCGCCTCTGTTGTCCCTCTCGCGGCTCGGAGCCTCCCCGCATTGCTAGCCGATCCTACAGTGCTTTCCACAGCACTTTTCACAGCCTGATCCAATTACCGTTGGGTTTTTTGGCAGGGCCAGGATGCTCCCAGGTTTTGAGGCTGGTTTCAACCCCTGCAGGGCAGCTCTTTTTCTGGACCTCTTTGTTAGATTTGTAGCCGGCCGACCACTTCCCTGGGTGCTGCCGGCCCCCAGCGCCGGCCTGTCAGCTACTCAGCCCTCAGATCTCTGCGGTTTGGGATAATACCGTGGGCACCACCTTCCCCACACTCCATCCCAAACAAAGCCAGTCCCCGCGGGGATGTTCTTGCAGCCTGCTTTTCCCCAGCGGGCCTCTGCACTGATGAACGGGGGCCAGGCAAGGACGTGCTCACTGATCCTGGAGCAGAGGCCCCTGATCTTTTGGGGTTGCCCCTCCCAACACGGAGCTCGCCCCGTGAGCCAGATGGGCTGGGTACTGTCAGCCTGCTGCACCTGGGGAGAGCCCCAGCCCTACAAGTGGGGTGCAGGATAAAGGGAGCGCCAATCCTCTGGGCCACGCCTGCCAGGGAGAAAGTCCGCACAGCACAGAACAGCGGGTTAATGACGGTTCCAGGATCCCCCTCTACCCCAGCGCACAGCTGGGGGGCAGGAGCCTGTCCCCAGAGTGGCGCTTGCATGGCTCCGAGCGGGAGGCTGGGGATGGCTCCTGGCTCAAAAGCCACAGGTCCTCACTGCTCTTACCAAGATGCAGTAGCTTTTCATGCGTAAAAGTTCCTCCTTTCGCTGTGCACCTTTAGAACCGCTTCCAAGTGCTTTAAAAGGTTGGGCTTAAAAAAGTAATTTTTACCAGCTAAGCACTGTTGCCCGAGGAGAGCATGGGCGAAGCTCCCGCGGCCCTCTGGAAGTCCTGCCTCTAAAATGTGTTGGATAAATCTGGTGGCTCACAGCAAAGGCAATTTATTCCGTCCCAGCTCTGGAAGCCAGAGGCTCCACACCAGTGTCTCTGGGGCAAAACCAAGGTGTGGGCTCGAGGGGACAGTCTCTTCCGAGTCGCTCCAGCTCTGGGGTCTGACCCTTCGTTCCTTGTGGTTCTGGTCACTCCCACCTCCGCCTCCTTGGTCCCATGGCCTCCTCTCTTCTGTGTCATAATTCTGGCTGTCTGTCCTGTAAGGACATTTGTGATTGAGTTTAGGACCCACCAGGGCAATCCGGGATACGGTCAAGCTCCTTTATGACATCTGCGAGGACCTGCTTCCCTGTGAAGTAGTCGCCTCAGGTTCCAGGACCCAAATCCGGTATCTTTGCAAGCCTGTTATTCAATCTATTACACCTGATGTGCCTTCTTCCATCCTTTGACTTTCAAACGATCGGTGTCCTTGCATCTAAAGTCTGTGTCTTGGAAATAGCACAGAGTCGTCCGATCTCTCACTTTTTTTTTTTTTTTTTAATTACCTGAGACAGAAAATCTCTGCCCTTCCCTGGAGTGTACAGATAGTTGACATTCAGAGTAAATATTGGTGTGGTTAGATGTCCATATCCTGTTTTCTATTTATTGTCTATATGTCTCTCCTCTGTTTCTCTGTGCTTTTTTTTTTTTTTTTTTGGCTTTCTTTTGGGTTACATAAATTATTTTCCTTTTTAAAGATTTATTTATTTATTTTAGAGAGAGAGAGAGCCTGCAGGGGGAGGGGCAGATGGAGAGGGAGAGAGAATCTCAAGCAGACTCCACACTGAGCATGGAGCTGGACATGGGACTGGATCCCACGACCCTGAGACCATGACCTGAGCCAAAATCAAAAGTCAGATGCTTGACTGACTGCACCACCCAGGCGCCCCTTGGGTTATGCAATTTCTTAGTATGCCATTTTAATTCCTCTTTTTTTAAAACTATGTTTCTGGAATTGTTTTCCTAGAGATTGCTCCGGGGATCGCAATATGATTCCTAACTCCTCACAAGTGACTTCAAAATAATGCTAACTTACTTCTGGTGAAATACAGAAACTTGAATACAGTTCCATTCTCTCTCTCTTTCCTTGTGGTATTATCAACAAGCGTATTTGTGGCGGAAGGAGGACATATCTGGTCCTCGTCCCTGGTTCCTGGCACGGAGCTCCGAAAGCCCATGGGATTTCTTGGATGCTGGCACTGTCTTTCTTATGCTAGTTAAGCTGATCTTTGGGCACCCCTAGAATAGGGTGGGGATTGGGGGCCAGCCCAATCTACGGGCTAGAGACACTTTTTCCTCCATCACGTCTCCCTAATGGAGCCCTAGTAATACTCTGCCCGCTGGGCTCCCGGGAGCTTCCTGGTTGGGGGACACGCTGTCCCGGGATGGTGCCGTGCTGGACCCCAGGAGAGTGGAGAGAAGACAGGGGCGCAGAACCTCCTCCCCAGCCCCATGACCCGTTACCTCACCCTGTGCTGCTCTTCCTGGGTGCTGTGATCCTTCTAGCAACGTATGGAACCTGGGGAATCTCTTACCAGAAATTCCAAAATCCTTTTATCAGAAGGAATTTTTGTGGTTACCATAAATTCAAAATTTGTTTATGTCTTTGGTTGCTTTCCAAGATGCTGAAGGTTTTTTATTTTGTTTGTTTTGCTTTTCAATCCTGTCCAGATTTA